GGCCCAGGGGAGCCAGCGCCGTCGGCAGGACTGGGCCCTCCGCGGCGGAGAGGGGCGTTGAGCTGTTGCTGCTGGTGTGTGAGCGCCTCTGGCTTCCCTGTTGGCTTCTGGTACGGGTTAAGCGCGCTGGTCAAGCAAGCGAGTGTAGTTGTGCCCCCTTATGCCCTGCTCCTACCCTTTTCCCTTTTGGCGCGTTGACTCTAGCGAACTTTGCTCTCAAGCTAGTCGTTTCGTGTGTTTGTAAAAGCGATTGATTCTGACAGCGATGAATCCCTCGTAAAGTAATGGAAGAATGCAACTTCTTCCCTAGAGAAAAGGAGGATGTGAATAACCTGCCGCGCGAAGTGCACCTAAGCTAAACTTCCGTCGTGGCTTACAGAAAGGCGAACTACAAGTGTGACTGTGAAACACAGTTTGTATTGATGATGTGTTTCGGTGATGTTTGTGGTTAAGGTATTTTTCCACTTGTTATAATTCAGTCATTTGAGATCACCCTGCAGAGGGCAAGAGTTGGCATTTTTGCAGAGTTAATTCTGTTTACCTGAAGATCCCACATAATGCCACTGTGGGGACAGTTCAGGACTTCCAATTCGATGTGCATTTTGTATGTATCACCTGAAGATACACATAATATTGCCTCAGAATAGCTTTTCCAGTTGTTGTGCTATGATGCTGTGACATAGGCAAAAATCAATAAGTAGTCTCAGAATCAGTTCCTAAGGAACAGGTGGCTGGCTGTACTGCTAGAAAGAGAAGTTACCTTATTGTGGCCTTCCTCCCAATTGATTGGACTGAAAAGCTTCTCTAGCCCTTTTGTTTTTGCAACCTGTAGGTTAGAAATGACCAGATAAAAACAAAGGCAAAATCATAGGTTTGGAACAAGATCTGGCACTTTCATCGATAACATAGCAATAACCACAGCCTTTCAAATTAACTATGTAGGTCTGGAGTCTGACACTCACTGTTTTTTTCATATTGTTTTGTGTTTGTTTGCTTTTGTTTTTTTAAAGAGAACCCGGTATTTCTGAAAATCACCTGTCACACAGCTTGATCCAAAGTACAGTTGTACTTGCTTATTCTGACCCTTTAGAAAGTTATTGTGGTGTTTAGCAAAGCAAATACTGTTAGATCCTAGATCTTCCAGTACTGACAGATTGTGATTTACAGTTAGTCACAATGAGGCGAAGCTCAAGTATCGCTGGAGGCAGCGGTCGGCAGTCTATGATGGCACAGAGAGTGCAGGACAGCAACAGGATGGATCTTCAAACACCTCAAAGGTAAGTGTTAACAATCATATTTCTAGGGATAGATCAATTAACTCTGAAGAGATTTACTGTAGTGTGTTTGAAAACTAAAATAACTTAAAAAAAAATCAATGGGACTAACGAGAAGAAAACTCCATGCAGGCAACTATCTTTGCACTTATGCTCCATTTCTGTAGAAAACTTTCATCTATTTGTATACCCATTACACATTTCAAATGGTAACACTTTTTCTTACGTATTTTGTAGGTGGTGGCTGGGTGAATTTGTGGATAAAATGTTCACTTATAAATCCTCTCGCAGAAGTCATTTTGATAATGGAGAAATAATGCATTAAAATCAGTTGACTTTTCTGAGATGCTGCTATGCTGATGTTGCTTAGGCTTATATGCATGTGTTTATAGTTTTCTCACATGATCAAAAGAAGAAATGGTAGAAATAGTCACTTCTGTCCTTCTCACTGTCCCTCAGGAAGGACAGAGGTACGTTTGGGAAGCTGAGCGTGAGCAAACCTACACCTGGAACTTCAGAAAAAAGAGTCAGCTTTTTTGGAAAGAGGTATTGATAGCTTTACATCTCTGTACTTTATATTAAAACAATAACCAATGCCTCATCAATTTGTAAATTCTCTCTCTGATAGATTTTTGTTAGAGAAAATAATGGTTCTTAGGCCAGCAGTCCTTCAGGTCTGCTTTCCTCCACTCCTTGACCACTACACAATAATGCTGTGGAGTAGGAATTGCTTTGAGAGCTGTTCTTTTTCTTGGGAATGATACACTGCAGACCTTAAGAACTCCTAAATACATTTACTATTTAAGGAAGGATAGTATCTCAAGCACACTCTGCCCTAATTTCATCTTTCTGAGATGCAAACCTTCCAAAATTCTGTAATATTTCAGTTTAGTTCATGGCTTTCTGTGTTCTGACGTCTTGCAGGCATCTCCTTTCATAGGACCCCACTGTTGCAGGGATCTATTCCTTTTAAGTATTCCTTAAATATTTTCATCTTTATTTTCAATCACATCATTTTGTTTTCTCACCTTTGAGGTATTTTTCTGCTCCATAAAACCTTCTTCCAATAACCTGAATCAATTATTAATCTAATGCAATAATCTCTGTTGTGTGTATGCATCGTGGTTTCCAGGTTGATTTTGTTTTTCTGTTTATCCAAAATAAAGAGACCTTCAGGCATGCCTTGGCATAACAAATGCAAAATAAACAGGAGAATAGCAATTTCAGTGACTTAACATTGAGAGTTCTTCTTTGTATGTATTGTCACAAGAATGATACTTATTTTTTGTCCTTAGAACTAGTGGGGCTGGAGGTTCACGCAACAGTCAGTATGGTGTGTTTGGTACAGAAAAGATCAAAGATCCCAGGCCACTTCACGACAAGGCATTCATCCAACAATGTATCAAGCAGCTTTGTGAGGTAACTTATTATCTTCATATAAACTGACATGATTAGGCATAGAAGATATTAATAAAAATATTTCTTTTTCATGGTTTCAACTCTAGGTTTTATTTAGTGGCTAATAAGCCATGTTTCTTCTTCTCAGTTTCTTGCAGAGAATGGTTATGCCCATAATGTTTCTATGAAATCACTACAGTCTCCATCAGTTAAGGACTTTTTAAGAATCTTCACTTTTATCTATGGATTTCTCTGCCCTTCTTATGAACTGCCTGACTCAAAATTTGAAGAGGAAATTCCCAGAGTTTTTAAAGAGCTTGGGTAAGATGTTTATTGTTAGTCTGTTGTGCTAAATAAATATGGTAAAGCTAGAAATTTAAAAGCCAAGAATTCTGCATGAACGCTGGAGAGAACAGGTAGGCCTATTTATTCAGATAAGACTCTGAAACTACAATGCTGTGATTTTATTTCACTTTTGTTTAGCTTTAAGTTTCTTCTCTGATTCTCAGACCATAATACATTTTATATTTGAGCTTGCAGAACTATAAGCTCTTGAAAGCTTGCTTTGTAATGTAAAATGTAATTACTTTGACCCAAGAAGCCAGAATCTTGTCTCTTAAGAAGAGGACTCCTATGTATCGACTTCTTTTCATGTATTGGACAATATTTCAGGCTTGCACACCCAGTTTGTAGATTTAAGCATCTTCCATTGGACTTTTGCTCTCTCCCTTATATTTGCTACCTTTCCTTTGAGGTCTTTGTCTCATCATAAATCACCTCACGCTTACAGGTCACCCTCTTTTTTCCTTAGTACTGCAGTGCCCATCTCCCCTCCTATAGTAGCTTCAGAAAAAGAAAGATCTGGCTGCTACCGAGACCAAGGAAATGTACTAAGCTGAATAGGAAGGAGCTAAGGAATGTATGAAAGAATAGTTTACACTTCTTTGTATGAGGCCTTAATTTTTCCTAACCCTTGGGTATGCAAAAAAAAGTTGATTTCTTCAATAGCTGACTAGTTGAGGGTGCTGCACCTCTGCACTGCACTGGTGCAGCCCCTCCTTGAGTACTGTGTGCAGTTTTGGGTGCCTCAATATAAGAAGGACATGGAACTGTTAGGGTGACCAAGATGGTGAAAACTCTTGAGGGCGAGGCTGATGTGGAGTGGCTGAGGTCACTTGTTTTGCTCAGCTTGGAGAAGAGAAGGTTGATGCGTGACGCCACTGCAGTCTATGACTTTCTCAAGGGGACCAGTGGAGGAGGAGGTACTGGGCTCTCTGGTGACCAGCAATAGGACACAGGGAAATGGAATGAAAGTGCTTCTAGGGAAGTTCATATTGGACACTAGGAAAAGGTTCTTCACTCAGAGGATGGTTATGGCATCAAGCCTGCCAGAGCTCAAGGAGCATCTGGACCATGCTCTTAAGTCATATTGGTTATGTTTTGATAGCCCTGCAATGAGCAAAGAGTTGGACTCAAGGATCCTTATGGGTCCTTTCCAGCATGAGATATTCCTACTGTGGATTACAAAATGAAAAACCCGTAATAAAATAGTGCTATGAGAATTCAGCTTATCTCCCTTGATGTACAGTAAAAAGTACAGTTGGGTTCATTCTTCCTTCTGTGCCTTGATCTACATATAAAAATGTGCTGTTTTGTTTTCATTGCTGTTTGCCATGCCTATTAAAAATGTATATTCTTTTGCATTGTAGGTATCCCTTTCCTTTGTCAAAAAGCTCCATGTACACAGTGGGAGCACCACACACATGGCCTCAGATCGTGACAGCTTTGGTTTGGTTAATTGATTGTGTCAAGGTAACATTTGTCTTTTTTAAGCCAAATATTTCCACTTTCCAGGTTGTAATGTTAGTTTCAATACAGATGTCTTAAATGCATTCTAAGAATCTCTTTGTTTGACATTTATGGAGAGAAAAAGGTAGCGTTTTTACCTGCCATCTGTGAGGTAGCTCTTAGCTTTACTTTGAGTAACTTTTAAACTGGGTTTCTCATATTATATGGTGATAATATTTTCTTTACTGTATGCACTGGTTTAATCTGTGTATGAGAAGGGGGGGTGGAAATGACAACTTATGCATACACAAATGTGAGAAGTTAATCATGTACCTTTAGTGCAGATCTTGTGGCATTAGCTGTCTTCTAAATTTGTAGTCTAAGGATGGAATTTTCAACAGCAACTGTTCAAATGTCCTGTGATTGCTACATAGACTGGTGGGGGTGTGTTTGGGTGGAGGGTTTTGTTTGGTTTTTTTTAGTTCTAGTAACAGTGTTGCTACCAGCTCAGGTCTGAGCAAAACTTGTAATCTTTAACAGAAGTTCACCAATGCTGAATCGGGCAGACATGGAAATCCCAATCTTTATGCTGAAAAGGCATATTTGACTTAGCAAAGCAACTTGGCAGTGTCAAATGTCCAGTTCGTGCCTCTTCATCCATTATTTTAGTCAACTAAACACAAGCTTATTACCCTGATGTGACTGATCACATTCTGAAGCAGCACCATTACATCCTGCTTGCTGAAATCCTAATCCAATGTTACTCCACTTTATATTCTTCCAGTATCTGAAGGGGGCTACAGGAAAGCTGGGGAGGGACTTTTTTCAAGGGCTTGTAGTGAGAGGACAAGGGGGTAGGGCTTTAAACAGGAAGACGGGAGATTTAGGTTAGAAATTAGGAAGAAATTCTTTGCTGTTAGAGTGGTAAGACACTGGCACAGGTTGCCCAGGGAAATTGTGGAAGCTCCATCCCTGAAAGTGTTCAAGGCCAGGTTGGATGGAGCTCTGAGCAACCTGCCGTAGTGGGAGGTGCCCTGCCCATGCAGGGGGTTGGATCTAGATGATCTTTATGGTCCCTTCCAACTCAAACCATTCTATGATATGATTTTATGAACATGAAGCTAAGATGAAAGCTAATGAGGGTCTTCGCACTTGCTCTTTGTATGTACACTTATGCCTTTCAGTTTTATGCTGCCATGAGGGAAAACGCACCATCTTTTGATGAAGGACAGAACTGGGGAGGGGAGACAGATGATGGAATTGTACATAATAAGGTACTATTAAAAGTATATGATTGTCAGAATTGTTCAAATTATTTTTGCCACCTGCTGTAACAACTACATTTCAATATCTAACAAAACAGTTTTAACTATTTATAGATTCCATTCAGTTTTATATTCACAGAGCTCTCTAGGAAGTACAATAGCACTATGTAAAAAGCCTGATCAACTGGTTTCCTAAGCAGGCATCACGGCCAGTCTGTTTAAACACTGGGTATTAACTTGAAATGCCTTATTCTCTGAGTTGCTGTTTCTGTTCTCCTTTGTGGAGAAAGGGAGTCATTATGCTGTTTATTGTCTCAGTAGTATCTTTGGTACGTTTCTCACTAGAGCTTGAGTCTTCTAAAGTTAACAGCAGTACAGTGTAAAGACAGTGACTTAATTATAAATGTGGTGGCTCCTGCCAATATCTACTCAGTTTACCATTATGATGCATTTTTAAACGTCTAACTTCCTTGCCACAAATCAGGGTGGCAATGTCATTCAGGCATTAAAAAGCCAGCAGCCTACTTTCTTTCTCATTTATCTTAGGTTATTTGTATGACTCAGATTTAACTGTGATAACATCACAGCAGATGTTTGGAAGGGGTTCTGGTATAGTAGAGCACTTAATTAGAAAACTGCAAAAATAAGATTAAATCAGAATTTTGGACTAAGGTTACAAACCTGACAGTTGACAAGTAAAAATCATTTTAACCCAAATGTGTGCTGTTATATTGAAACAAAATTTACAATACTGGTGCAATTGCCTCTGAAAGATCTGTGAATTAAAGTCTCCAGTAAATTATTTTGGGGTAACCTTTCCTTAATTATAAATCAGTTCTCTGAGATCTGCAGACCTGAATTATAGTGGTCGTATTTGCTGAATGTAAAACTGATCTACAGTTTCTATAAACTAGTCTGAGAGGATCATATGCTTCAAGAAATCAGAAACCCTTCCAGACTATTCTTGATGTGAATTCTAGATGCCTCCTTCTGCCTGCATGTAATCTGCTGACATTTTATGTATAAAGGGAGAAAAAGTTGATTTTTACAGAGGCACAGTCAAACTAGTGAAAGATGTTTTTGGTGTTTATTCCATTGGTTGAGCAGATTTAGACTATTTAGGTATTTTTCAGCACTGACATGAAAACAAATTGTTTTCAGCTTTTCATGGACTACTGTGTGAAATGTTATGAGCACTTCATGAAAGGGAATGATACTTTTGAAGAACTGGATGCGGAAGTCCAGTCAAAATTAAGTAAGTTTTCATGTTTCATTGCATTACTGGTTTCTTTACTCAGCTTTGCTCAGTTTACAAGTGCAAGTGATCTGAGATAAGGGAACCTGAAATTCCCAAGTATGTCTCAGTTAATTTGCCTTAATTCTTTTATTTTTGTCACTAGTACAGACAGGTCATGCTCTGCTGCCAGCTCTATCTTTGTAACACTATGGTATTCTGTGGCTTTGTGACCGAAAACAGTATATAATTCTTCAGATACAAATTCCATCTATACAAATTACTAATTTCTGTCTGACAAAGTTAACAATTAAAAAAAGAAAAATATTACCAGAATATGCACATCTGATGAGTAGGAGACTTTACACATCCTAAGAGGCAAGGAAGTATGTGGGTAAGAAAGGAGTATACAAATCAGAATACCTTGTGAAGCTGGAACCAATGAAACTTAGCTAGCAACCACTATCCTATAGTGTTTGGAAACTGACCTCACAGGAGTAATTTTGAGCTCTTTTATGACATGAGAACTGAGAAATTTAGTTCTTGTTTGTTTTGGGGTTTTTGCTTATTTGCTTTGTAATGAAAGTTGGATTTTTTGTGTTTGCTGGTTGTTTTGGGCTGTTGTTTTATTTACTTTAAAATAATTGTCCAGATAATGGATATTTATTGTGCTGACGTTAAAGCACAGATATTCAGATCAGTTGATTAATTTGTAAAATTCTCCCCCCTTTTTTTCTCCCTTTCCCCCAGAGGATTTATTTAATATAGATGAATTCCAGATAGAAGCTTTAGCAGCTGACAACAAAAGACTTCATGAAGAGATTGCAAGATTAGAAAAAGAAAAGGAAAGTGAGCCGGTTAGTAAATTGTGTCTATGCTTGTTTATATCATGGAGTTGAATTGTCTATTATTGCCATTACTAAGTGAAGATACTGATGATACACTACAACAAATGGAAATTATTTTCAGTGCTCTATGAGGTTTTAATTAGGCCAGATAATTACAGATTCTATGCTAGTATAATATAAGACATTTACTGTGGAGTCTTCAGTCACTGTTTATTTGATATTGTGAAGATATTTTCAGGTAATGAGATCTGTTGGTGTGAGAACTTCCCACGGGATGGGATGGGAACATAGGATTTTGTGGTAACAAGGTACTTTAGGGAAAATATTTTGTTTGAAAAGATGTATTCTGCTTTGATTGCATCATAGGTTTAAAAATCATCACGTGTCTGTGCAGCTGGCAAATGGGATTTTTGCTTACTAAGCAAAATGTGCTGCATGTATTCTCAGCTTTCCTTGCCTTTATTTTTAGCTACCCTTTGTATACAATACTTGAGTTGTGAATTACCTCTAGTAAGAATTTTGTTAAGCAATGCCTAATGCAAATCAAAGACTAAATGCTGCAATGTGCGAATTTAGGTACAAACCATCTTTTCAGCCATTTTTAGTTATTATTTTGAAGACTTAACTTAATTCAGCAGTCACAGAGATACAAATTTAAAGAATGTCAATTTTTTATCTATACTATTGAAGTTGTCCAGTTACTCTATTGGCTTGTCTATAAAGTCAGATAATTATTTTAGATTAATATAATAGTGGTTGTTCTTCCCGTCCATTTACTAGGATCGTAGAGTAACACTTCGAAATGTGAAATCATCTCTTCAAGCTGATGTCCAGAAATACCAGGCTTATTTGGCTAATTTGGAATCTCATATAGCAATTCTTGATCAAAAACTGGAAGGTGTTAATGAGGAAGTTGAGACAACAGGTAAGACAACCTTGGTTACAGCTGTGATAGTGAAGCTAGAAATAAGCTTAAAATAACTGTAATTCTCAGCTTCAGAGCAGAGTGAAATACTTGTTTGTAGCATCATCATACACTAAAATTTCAAAAATTCATTGCTAATAAAGATATTTTGGGGGGGATGATAGCTGTTTGTATATTGAGTAATGAAATACAGATATTATTTACTCATAAAAATGCAGAGATACTAGGTTTGGCTATATAGGCTGGTAGTTTACATCCACTTCACAAATGTTTTGTGGAATTAGAAATGGAAGTAGAAGCAACGAAGCAGGAGAATGCTCGGCTCCAGCACATCTTTGATAACCAAAAGTACTCGGTTGCGGACATTGAGAGAATACATCACGAGAGAAATGAGTTGCAGCAAACCATTAACAAGCTGACTAAAGAAGTGGAAGCAGAAGAACATCAGCTATGGAATGAAGAGCTAAAATATGCTAGGAATAAAGAGGCGGTATGTGAAAACACTACTACATTGAGAGGTGGCTATCAGTTTTCATCATGCAAGCTTATATTTGGACTATTGCTAACTTCTTTCCTAAATAGCAGCAGCATATGAATGTTTTAACAGGCTAACATTACAAGAATGGCTTCTGTTTAGAATTTTTCTGGATTTTTTTTTTTTTTTACTCTCTTCTGTTTTGAGCATAATGGAAATGTATTCTTCTGGTATTTTTCTGCATCATAAGGGACACTTAGCATCAAGAGCTGTGATAATACTAGCTTGAAATTGTTTTGATAACACAAGCAATTTCAGGCAAATGTTAAGATTTCATAGCAATGAAATAATGCAAAACTAGTGCTTTGAATCAATAACTCTGCACGCATTTGGGGCCAGACTGGTCCCTTATTTAGAAGATCTAATAGATTTTGAAGGCCAAATTAAATTCCTGCAAACCGAATGAAAAGATGTGGCCTCCTAAGTGCTGAGATTTAAAAGCTCCTGCTTTGCTAGATGAAGAACTGAAAAAAAATAAAAATTCAAACATGTGTTCCATTTGGCAGGGTTATGCTTTATCAATCACTTGGTATTAATTTAAATTTCTCATACGGTGCAAATATAAAGCATATAAAACTAGAAGAAATACTGATGTCATTAGCTTGCGTATAAATGGCACTCATTAAATGTTCTGTTTTCTGATTGCTAAGCTTTGTCTAGAGGTATAGAATCATAGAATTGTTTAATTTGGAAAAGACCTTTAAGATTATCAAGTCTAACTCTTTACCTAGTCCAAGTCCACCACTAAATCATATACCTAAGCACCATGTCTACACATATTCTAAATTCTTCCAGAGATGGTGACTCAGCCACCTGCTGCAATGCTTGATGACCTTGCTGGTGAAGAAATTCTTATGTCAAGTTGAAGTTTGTTCTTAGGGTGTGTGGCGATATAGCATTTCCTGTCAAAACCACTGAGAGAAGGCATATCAACATGACTGATCATTGGTTATTTGTATTACCTCCAAGCATGTTTTTGCTTCTCTATCAATTAATCCTCAAAAAATTGAGGCAGAAAACAGAGTAGATAAGCAGGGAAAACCACAGGTGAAACCATTCTGTCTCACCCATACCTACTGAGAAGTTTTGCAGAGCAAAATCTGAAAGAATCATAAAACAGCCCTTAATCCAAGCAGCGCAAACTGCATGCTGTGGCATGACTTGAAATCATGCTTGTACAGAGCAGCTCAGAAATCAGTTTAAAATACTGTATGAATACTACTTGCAAAGCTTTTCACTTGTATTTCTTCTATGGTTTTTTCCCTTTTCTCCTCTGAACAGATTGAAATGCAACTGTCAGAGTATCATAAACTGGCTCGAAAGCTGAAATTAATCCCTGTAAGTGCTGAGAATTCCAAAGGCCATGACTTTGAGATTCAGTTTAATCCTGAGGCAGGACCAAATTGCCTAGTCAAATACAGAACTCAGATTAAGGTAAGTAGAGTCAACACTAAAAATATTTCTGTTTCCACTCACAAAAGGGTTTTATTGGAAATGTAGAAAGGTCACACTTAACCTCACCACAAAACTTCATTGGAAAGTTTGTGTGATGCATTGGCATAACTACATTACAGTATAGGAAGGAAATTCAGGATTGGGGATATGTCAGCCTAAATGAAAACTGGAGAGGGAAAATATGTACTGGGGTATGTCCTGGTTCAAACTAACTACTTGCATTAGACAGATCTTGTATGTGTATTCCAGGCTCCCCTTATGGAGATCATAAACCAGACCGAGGAAGAAATTTTGAAGTTTACTCAACGGAAAATGACTTTGGAAGATACTTTGGAACAGGTGTGTTGGATAATGAAGATTAGGGCAAGGAGACCATAATGGTATCTGCTGGTATCACTTTACCTTTTGCATGTCTGATGGGTGGTTTGGTGGGTTACTTTTGGTTTGTGTTTATTTTATTGGGGGTTTTGTTGGGTTGGGGCTTGGTGATTCATTTTTTTGTTGCTTGGGGTTGTTTTTTGGGTTTATTTTGGGTGCAGGAGCAGCAGGGAAGAGAAGCTGTGAGAAGATTGCTCTAATTATGATGGAACTTTAAGTTTTTGTGAGAATTAGAGTCATCTTCTGTTAACTGAAATAATGCATGTTCCCTGCATTGAAGATTATGCAGCTTACATATATTTGACCATAAACATTGGAAAGATTTGTCTTTTAAAAGTTGCCCATTTCAGTCTGTCATGTGGCTTACCATCACTGACAAGTTGTCATCAGGAAGATTTTTAGCAATATTGGGTTCAGGACAGATTGGAGGAAGGAGCATTTTATTTCCCATTCTTCCTCTACCTCAGATTTTACTGCTGAGCTTGACAGCATGTGGTATGGAATACCCTTTTGGCCAATTTTGGTCAACTCTTCTGGCTATGCCTCTTCCCAGCCTCTTACCTTGTCCCTAAACTGAGAGGCAGCAAGAGGGAGAGAGAGCCTTGATGCTGTGCAAGCACTATTCAGTAACAGCCAAAACACTGGTGTGTTATCAACACTGGTTTAGCCACTTATCCAAAATAATACACCATACAGGCTGCTATGAAGAAAGTTAATGCCATCCCAGCCAGACCCAATTTAAATATTTCTGGACTGCCACGTGTTGTTTGAGATGGCATGGATTTATATGTTGGGATTCTTTTTGAATTATATTTTCTTGATAATATTTTTATTCTAGGTGAATGTAATGGTAGAGGATATGAAAAACAGTGTGAAGATGCTGAAAGAAAAAGATGAAAAGCTGGATGATCTTTATCATCAGAAGCTTAAGGTAGAACTTCTTATAGGTTGATGTCAATATATCCTTATCCTTAACCCCTTGTATTTATACATAATTTTTTGGGTTGCATTTTTTTGTTTGGACCTCTGCTCTTGCCTCTTTCTATTCCTCTTGCAGCATTCTAATTTTTTTCAGAAATATTTGAGCACTAGCTTATGCGAATCAGTTTCGCTTTCTCAAAAGGCAATCTGGCAAGCTACTTTGGCAGATCCTGTAAATCATAAGCTACTATATCCAGTAATAAAAGCAGCAGCAATTATCTCCTGACCTCAGGTTATCTCAAGGCATGTGCTTGAAAGAGATTTTAGATTTAACAGTATCTGCCTTGTCTATTCAGTTGTATATAACAATTTTACCTGCATTTTTTTAGTAAACATGTTTAAGCACATTAAAAAACAGAGAAAGCATTATTTGACTTGAAATCACATTAAATGTTTTAATGATATACAATTGTACTTTCTTTGTTTTTCTTCCATAATGAAGGAGAAGTCACTATGCTTTTTCTCACTTCTACTTCAGCAACAAAACATAGCCCTCTTTTCCCCACCCCCAGCTTCCCTAACAGCTTGGCTTTGGTGGGGCTTTTGAAATAAACTAGTGCTTAACATACCTGTTATTTCAAATTCAAACTTCTGTGTTATAACCATGAAGCAGGGTTATTTCATTGCTAATACCTGCTTAGGTGGCTGAAGGCATTTAGTACATTGAGTTTATTGCTTCTAGAAACACCTGACATTTAGCTTTTGATCTATCCTGTTGCATATGCTTTTCTCTTAAGGTGAGCTCATAAAATACTCGTGTTGCAACTCGATGGTTATAATAAGACGTATATAATAATAAGACATGGTTATAATAAATCATGTAATTCCTCATGTAATTTTAAAAATGCTATCCATAAGACTCCAGTATTAAAGTAGTTTTTGAAGAGTGATGTTTCAGTTATTTACCAGAATTGCATATTTAGTTGACAGCAGAACTTAGTTTGGTTTTGTGCATTTAATTGTGCCAAGTATAGTGTCAAGAGTGTTACTCTGCTTGGAGAGATGAGTTACATTTGGTACACAGACACAAAAGGAAAGTGATTTTCTTACTCAAATGTGATTTTATTTTTTTAACCTAGAAACAGCTGTTCATGATGCTCCATTTCTAACCTATTAAAAGTATGTAAATAACACTTGTCGAAACCAACTTTGAAGGGAAAAGAGCTGCAACACATCTTGAAATTATGTTAGAGAAGTTGCATGGAATATGATACAGAAAATACATGAAACTTTAGGTTTGGTGGTACGTTCTTGGGATTTTTTTAGTTCTGAATTTGAAGTTGCTTGTGAATTCTGAATTTAAATATTCAGGTGTAATCAGGTAATATAAAGGGGAAAAAAATAGTAATTATTCCTGAGTTACACATTCTATTTTTATTTTGTTTTGTCTTATGTTTACAGGAGGAAGAAGAAGAAGAGCAAAAATGTACAAATGAACGGGAATTGTTACAGAAGTATGAACAGTTACTTGACAGTGGTGTCAAGGAAGGTCTCAGTAAAGACACAAATGAATTGCATGATCTTCAACGACAGTAAGGCCCATTACTTCAAGTAGTTAATATAGTTTTTTGGGGTGGTTGTGTGTTTTAAAGATAAAGACATTTTCTTGAATCTTAACATAAAATTCTTTGGTGGCGTAAAAATCTTTTGGAGAGTGGTTACCTATCTAAGTATATTAATTCCACAAATTCACAATTGAAATATGTTTCTCCTCAACACTTAATATTTTGCTAGAATATTTCTTGTGCCAGAACCCTTATAGCCATTTATTTTTCATATATGTAGTTGTAGTAAGGAAATTATTTCATTTTCAAACTTGTGTAACAACTACATTTTACAGCCTAAGGTCTAGAAAGGCTATTCTGATTCTAAGTACTTTGTTTCTTACTGGGTAGAAAAATACAGTTCTTTTTCTTCTAAATTGAGTATTAATATACAAATGTATCTTGGCTCACCTTAATTATAATAGGCAAAAATATGGCTAAACTTGATGGTATATCAGACTTAGTTAGGGCTTTAGATATCAGAAATTTCCTAATTATGAACATGACTTTATGAATGTCTTTACTTTTTAGATATCTAGCTGTTATGCAAACAACAACAGAAAACAGCAGAAGAGCTGGTGATAATTTGAATCGTCTTTTGGAAATGATTGCTACTCATGTAGTATCTATAGAGGTAAGCTAAAATTCAATATTTAGACTTAAATCTTTCAGGAGACATTTGCAACTGCAGTTAAACACAGGGAAATTAATATTTACACTTTCCAATGAAGTGTCAGTCATTTAGGGTTGCTCCACTGAGTCTGTGGATTCTAGTTAAATAGATACATTGATAAAACTGCTGGTATAAAAAAAATCAGAATTGATCATAAAAGTTCAGTAGTAACATCCTGTCAAGTTTAATCTGCTTCTAGTAGGTATCTTTCAGAGAAGCATTTCACTGAAGTAACTTAACCTGTGCTTAAAATGCTTTAGCAGAAGAGGTATAATAGAGACTATGGTAGTTCTAATAAACTCTTTGTAACTCTTTTCTAGAAATATCTTGATGAACAGAATGTAAAAATTGAGAGAGACTATGAAGAATTCATGTCGGAAGATCTATTGTCAATCTTGACCAGAATTCGAGATACTTATATAAAGAAAGCTGAAAGTCTGTAATTACCAGAAAGGTGAAGATGAAAATTTTGCATTTCTGAAGCTCTGACATGGTGCCTTCTAAAAGGATGGGTACTTCTGTGTTTAGCAGTGAAACAGGCTTTAAGTGTAAGGAAATGTATATGAACTTTTGTTTTATTGACACAAATACATTAAAGAAGTGAACAGTATATTTGCATTTTCTTAAAAAAAGGCTTTGCTTACACTTCCTCCTTGCAATATAGTATACATGATTACAAACATCTGTGACAAGAACTGTGGAACAACTTGATTACATTTTTTCTTTACAATCAAATAATTTGTGCTCTTCTAGGAACATTAAGAGTACCATTAACCTGTTAAAATAACACGGCAGAGTGGACTTAAAGATGTAACTGGAAGTGACAGCACAATTATAGAGCATACTGACAACTTGAAATACTGCTACTTAAAAATAAGTAATGTTTTTCGTAAACTTGCAAGATTGCTAGCTGAGAAAAAAAGTTATGCTTTCCTTTCTGGCGTATAGTTTGTGCATTCTATTATATATATATGTATATATGTAGTGGTCGTGCATCATGGTGCACATCCTTCCCCAAGCCTTTCTCAGTAGCAAGCCACATGTAAATATCTTTCCATCTCCTGCTTGTTGAGTTATCTGTGAAACTGCCCAGACACCCCTATTAAATTAGTAAGATACCTTTTTGTTAACAAAATTTTCTCTGAAATAATCAGTAAGAGTTGTACAGTAGTCTTGTAAATAGTGTACAGAAAAAAGTCAGTTTGAAAACAAAGGTCTGTCTCTAGCTGCTCAGAGCCCCAGATGAAACCTCACTGCACTTGAATATGTATACAAGAGATAATTCTTAGCAGGACAGCAAATTAATTTGGTCAATATAGCTAATCAGTTGTAGATTGGGCTAATATTGAATACATCAAAATGGTCTAAAATGAGCACATTCTGTTGTTAGACCAGTATGACAGTCTATTTTTATATTTTTTTTTTACCCTTAGGAAAGTAGCAGTAAAGTTAGTGTATGGGAAGCTCAAGTTTAAATACACTGAAGAAAATGTAGCCCTATTTCTTGAACATGCACTTGTCTTTGTTCAGTGCTATGTGGAAGTAGTATCTTATCTACTCTGTATATACCTCTGTGTTTAAAAAAGAAAAAGCAGCATTTATGTCTTGGATAGTTTAGTATCTAATGGTATTTCCTAGTAAAAGTATTGAAGTATTAGAGTGTTTTTAATAGTTCAGTGATGATGCAAATATACAGTGATAAAAACAACTTTGCAGACCGTTCAAAAGGTTTTAGCAGCAGGTAGCTAAATTAAGTTTGAATGAAACATGGATCCCTAGGGTATACAACAAAACTTACATGAAATAATCTGAACACAGACTGCAAATAAAACCTGAATTGTCCTTAATTCTAGGCTATTTTTGCAGAGCACATATAAAACTGTTTTCCTTACCATAGTGTATGAATCTTCTGGCTCTTGGATTATGAGTATTTTGTTTCAGATACTATGATAATGATGGCACTGTTTAAACTATTAACTTTCTGTTCTTTTGTTGTACTCCAGAAGTTAAATTTGACAGCTATACAAGTTTTCTGAGAGGTGGGTAGTATTTCTGCTTTCTTCTGTTGTCCACTTTCATTTTTACCTTCACAAAATTTTACTTTTTTTTTTCTGTAACAGCCCAGTCCTTATCAAATATCAGTTCCTTCTCTTTAGAAGCTTTCTTCTTTTTTGAACTTTCTGACAATTTTTATCTAAAGCAGTATTCTTCTAATTAACCAAAAATGCGAAATATACAGCATAATTATGTTCCTTTAAAATGTGTGTATTTAGGGGCTATGTTCTCTCTTGACTGTCTGATACCTGTTTAATTCTATACCTGACTGTTCTTGTGTTTATCAGTATCTGCAGATTTTTTGCCATGTGGAATAGTCAGCTTACTGAGTAAATGAAAGCAAAATAAATGTCATTTCCAAGGACTAATGCTAACCCAGTGGTAATGGGTTAAAGAATCAAGATCACAACGACCTTCCTTCACATGTACTGGCAAATATAATATTCTGAAATTAAGGTAGACTGTGTAATAAAGAAGTCCACATTTGTAATGCCAGCAACATTTTTTTTTTTTTTGTTATTGAGCTGAATCTATTGGTCTGTTGTCAGTTAAACTGAACTGACTTTAGAAACAGCTCAGGCTTTCACCTAGGTTTTACAAAATACTATGAGGATTTTTATGTCATAACATAGGCCAGTGTTTACTACGTAAAACTAGGTAATTAATTGTTCTCTTAACAGCAAATACTAATTCCTGACTATCCTTGCTGTTAAATGTCCATTATGCAGACAAAGAATAAATACAGAAACACCGGTTTCCTGTGAATTGCAAAGGAATAAAAATTGTCTTGACTTCTTTGAAAATAGGTGGCTATTTAAAAAACTCAAAGAAATGGTTGTCCAAGCTACTTTGGAAACTGATTTATGCATGTAGGTAGCCCTTTGGTGTTAAATCTTCCCCCAGCGTTTTGCTATCTTAAGCATTAGAGGACTTTTTCTTTACATTAGCTCTCTTTCATCTTTTCATGTATTTATTTTTTTAACCTTGTTATAAAAAAATAACACTTGATGCTGTAGAAGCATGGTAGAACTCTGTACACTGTAGTTCTCTTCGCTGGAGTATGTTATTTTTCAAATTTTGTTGTCAGAAACTTACATCACTGGTTAGGAACTGGGTAGTTCTTTTTGGACTACTTTGAGTGCCTCATATGAACCTCATAAAGCTCACGTGTGTGAGGCTACTCAAAGCCTTCTCGTCAGCAGCAAGATTTGACAGAAGAGTATCTTAATGCCATTCTGCTGTTTTTCAGATTTGCAGATTCAAAATCTACTAGAGGAATAAAAAGCAATTGTTACCAATCTCAGCTCAAGCAATGGTAACCATTGCCAAGCAAAGAAAATGCTCAAGATGATTAGTCATGGTTGAGATTGTCCAGGGCAGTGTCCTGACCAAAGAGTACTACAAAAAAACATTACAAATGCCAGCTGTGTTGTGCTCTACACCCCTCTGGAGAGTCGTCTACCAGTCCTGGCATTTGCCAGAACTAGATAGGATTACATATCTGTCTATAGTATGATTGTGTTGTTCCTTCATTCCAGAAGTCCTCAGCCACAGCTTTGTGAGAACAAGGAGCCTTTGTGATGTGTGGTCTGTATGGTATTTTCCTAAGTACCTCATGTGTGAGATCACAATTTTAATTGGAGGTGTCTTATCTGTTCAGCATTTTAGTCTTAAAGACCCTTTGCACAGAATTTAAAAGGTACAATAAATCATCTGTTACTCCAATTTCAACTCTACTGAAATATTTCCAAGTTTGGCAAGACTCCATAGCAGAAGGAAAGACAGGTGGTGATGGGATGTGTACAAATATTTTGAAACAAGAAAGATGTAGGTAATTCTATTTTCATACTGACCTTCAGAATAGTGAATGCCTTTTTTATCAGTAGAAATCACATGGCCCTTCTGAGAACCCTGAACACTAGCACTGTCATGCGTGACTACTGGTGCACCCAGCTGAAAGGAAAGTCTTTTACTGTTTTGCCTGGAAAAGAGCATCTGGAGTTACCAGTTCTAATTATCTGTTGGGATCACTATGTTACATTTAAAGTGCAGAGGGGATGTCAAAGTAAAGGCCTCCACTTGCCTAATACTTTGTAGTGATTTACTGTCCTCTCCTCCCAAAGGTTTGGCCATCAGTTGTTAGAAAGTCATAAGAAAAGTGGCAGAGTCATGCAATATAAGAAAGGGAAAACTAGTTAAAGCTTGGGCTGTTTGGACAAATGTAGGTTCTTTTAAGAGGGAAACCACAAAGTTAAAATGATATATGCAGCGCAAGGGTTACTGTGTCACCATCCCAAAAGCAGGATCATGAGGTAATGCCACTCAGAAACATTTAAAAGACTAAGCAGTCAACCAGTCTATCCTGGCCCATTGGCTTGGACTCTATGGTGCTGCTGCTACTGGAGCTGGTGATGAGGGCACTCCTTGGTGGTTCAGGAGAGAGCAGCCATTTGTGCAGGAAAAATGGAAGAGTAAGAAAACAGCCAAATGCCAAGGTGATAGGAAGAGTGACAGGAGGAAGCAGCCTTCCAGAGGAAAAAAGTAATAATGATGCTCAGCTGCAAACAGGCTGAAGATACTCAAGTAAGACCATGTAGCAACAACATCAACATGAATTGAAAGGCATAATGTCCCACACACATAGGATCTTTTCTGTGATGATGTATTTATGAAGTTTGCCTATTTCTTATGCATCATACAAGAGAGAATGACATGTTTTATCCCAGCCTTTATGACTTGTAAGGGTGTCATTGGAGGGACTTTTTCAGACACAGTCTTTTAAAAAAAAAAAAAAAGTATCTTTGCAAGTGTAACAGCAATGGTGTTCTATTAAAATGTTACTGCATTAATCTTGTACTCCAACAGCCTTTCCACAAATTAAAAACTGTTTTCCTACCAATGTGTATTTGTCACATATTTTTTCATGTACTTGTTCAAGAATCATTCATGTTTGTCTTGCAGAGGAAGAAGGTTTTAAGGTTTGATCCATCCTCACTCATTTCTCATGAGAGGTGACTCTGGTACGCACAAGATGCAGTGGATTGCTATCAAACTGTGCTGGGTTTGACTGGGATAGAGTTAATTTTCTTCATAGTAGCTAACATGGGGCCATGTTCTGGATTTGTACTGGAAACAGTGTTGATAACTGCAGGGATGCTTCCATCACTGCTGAGCAGTGCTTACACTGAGTCAAGGCCTTTGCTTCTCACCCCATCCCCTGATGAGTGGGCTGGGGGTGCACAGAAAGTTGGGAGGCGACACAGCTAGGAGAGATGACCCCAGCTGACCAAACGAATATCCCATATTGTGTCATGTTCAGCATATACAGTTGGGGGAAGACGAAGGAAGTGGGGTGGGGGCGGACACATTCAATTAGTTCCTTGTTTGGCTTTGCTTGCACGTATGGCCGTCGCTTTTACCTATTGAGCTGTCTTTATTTCATCTCACATATTTTCTCATTTCTGATTCTCTCCCTCCAAACCACCACATGAGGGCTAAGGAGGTGGGGGGGTGTTGGGCATTGAGCAACTGGCTGCACAGCACTTTGTTTCCAGCTGGGTT